AGACGAAAAACATCCTAAACTCTCTAATTTCTGTTACAAACTATGCAATTTACGGCGTACATGTATATATAACTTGTTAACTTACATTATTATATATGAACTATTCATTTTCAAATGATCAACATCCATTTTTTCTTCTTTTTTTATTTTTTATTATTCTTTTTAAACCGTGTTTTTTTCCTTTTTTTCTTTTGTGTGTGTGTGTGTGTCTCTTATAATTATGCTGTTAAGAAAAGCCCCATCATGAAGGGTAATAAAAGATAATTGATCTCAGTGCTAATTAGAACTGCACTGACCACATACCGCCCGAATTTAATGTACAGTTGACTGTCATACAATTAATTAATTTATTTATTTAATCAATTTATTAAAAAAAATATTTATTTATTAATGCATCAATTTATCAATCTATTATTTTATTTATTGATTTCTTTATTTAATTATATATTTATATATTTATATATTTATAATTAATTGAATGAATGAATGAATTTATTTATTTAGAATTAATTAATTAAATTGACTGTCATACTGTTTAAACAATTTTTTTAAATATTTCTACAATGTATAATAATACTTATTTATTTAAGTCTCATTCATGCACATACACAAATAAAATTCATAAGCAAACATAAAACACAGAAAAGTACATGACCATTCAATCATTGAATTATAAGAGACTAGTAAAACATTTATAATAACACGAAACTATCATACTTATCATAAAATTATATCCTACTATAAATAATAACTAACTACACAGAACAAATACTATAAATTAATGGAAAGAAATATACATTTATATATTTATATGATTAAAATAAAAACAGTCGCTATTAATGTTTATGAAACTTAAGGTAATAATCCAAGCGAAATCATAATATTTCAGATATATTTTAATTCATTATTAGACTCATTGGACATTTGTAACATTAATTCATAAACCAATTAATTAATTCATCTATTTAATCAATTAATTAAAAAAATAATTTATTTATTTATTAATTCATCAATTTATCAATCTATTAATTTATTAATTAATTTATTTATTGATTTCTTTATTTAATTAATTAAATAAGTGTATTAATTTATTAGTTTATTAATATATTGATTTATCAATATGTTAATTTAATTATTTTTCTATTTATTTATATATTTATAATTAATTGAATGAATGAATGAATGAATGAATGAATGAATGAATGAATGAATTTATTTATTTAGAATTAATTAATTAACTAATAAATAATTTAATAATTAATTAATTGAGTAAATAAATAACTAATTGGACCGGACCTATTTCATTTTAAAAAGGTCGGAACCGAATATTTACATGTAGAAACACTTTTACTGTTAAACTTTCGATCCAATAAGTAAAGCAAAAAAAAGATATAGATGAATTCTCCCATAATGTTATTCTCCCATCACGCTCTAATGGGGTATTTCTCCAAGTAAGCCATCATGGGAGATTTCTCCCATTTTAATTTTGGGAGGTTTCCGCACCATTTTAACTTTGGGAGATTTCTCCCATTTACTAAATGGGTTAGTTCAGCCAATGGGAGAATCGCAAAATTCTTTAAATATATTCCTCGAATACTTATAAGTTTATTTTAAGTATTATATATTCAACATATGTAAAAATATTTAGAAAAAAAAAAAATTTCCTCCCACGGTTTTATTCTCCCACTTTAAGAAATGGGGTTTCAACCCCACTAAAGTCCCAGTGGGATACGTTAAAAACCCGTGGGAGAATTGAAAAACCCCATGGGAGGTCACACTTTGAACGCTCACACAGCGTTTAATTTATTGCGCTATCTTTGTGTAATCGGTCAATAATCGTCTATTTTTATCCAAATTACTGGTTTGTTTTAACTTATTGTTTGAAACAATTTTTAAAAAGGGTTTATTTTGATTTTTGCAAAAAATTCCCCGGATTTTGAAAACCCTTTTTTCCCCGGACCCCTGTTTCAAACCCACATTCCTTTTAAATTAAAATATTATTTGACAGACCCCAAATGCAAAAACCCTTTGGACAAGCCCCCTTTAAGAAAAACCACAATAAATTTTTACATGTTTAATAAGACCCCGGTTTGACCCGGGGGGTTGATCCCCGAATGGGTTTCAAAACAGAAAAAAGTTATATTCCCCTTGTAGTTTCAGGGGTTATGTCCCGGTAAAAATTTAAAAAAGTACAAATTCCAAAAAATTTAAGGTTTCTCAAATTTTCCCTTTTATGCCCCCTGCAATTTTTTTAAATTTCCAATGCGATCTATAAACCCTTTAAAAATTTTCCCTTGTTGTTTCCTTTTTAGGGTTTCCTATTTTAATGCCCCGGGGACAAAGTTCAAAATGTAAAAAATGAACAAAGGGCAATAACTACAAAATTTGGCAAGGCAGAGTTCAAGTTCTTTTGCACTGCACATCTACCCATTGAGATCTATATACCTACAAAGTTTCATGTTGATATCTCATGTAGTTTAAGACTAATGTCCCAGACAAAGTTCAAAAAGTAAAAATAAACAAAGGGCAATTACTCCAAAATTAGGCAAGACAGAGTTTTGTTTCTTGTGCATTTCACATCTTCTCATTGAGATATATCTAAATACAAAGTTTCATGTTGATATCTCTTATAGTTTTACAGCTATGCCCTGGACAAGATTTTTCTACAAGAGGAGATAATTAAAAAATGAGGCTTAACAGAGTTATGGTTCTTTTGCACTGCTCTTCTACTCAATGAGGTCTATCTACCTACAATGTTTCATGTTGATATCTCTTAGTCTTAGAGTTATGTTCCGAACAAAGTTAAAAGTGTTAGAATTAACTAAGGGCAATAACTCTAAAATTAGGCAAAAAACAGTTATGTTTCTTGTGCACTGCACATCTACCCATTGAGATCTATTTACCTAAATTGTTTCATGTTGACATCTCTTATAGTTTTAGAGTTATGTCCCGAAACAAGATTTTTCTAAAAGGGGAGATAATTAAAAAACCTGGCAAAATAGAGTTATGGTTATTTATCACTGCACTCCCCTTTAATGTCCTCTACCACTGTATGAAGTTTTAACAAATTATCTGCAAGGGTTTTTAAGTTATGCTCCGGACAAGACAACGAATAGACAGACAGACTGACAAGGTGGCGACTATATGCTCTACCTTCGGGGAGCATAAAAAAGTTTCTTAAATTTCAAGATCAAAAGTGGTTTTTATTGGCTTTGTTGCTGTAAGAGACTTCACAAATCCTTATCTAAAACTAAACCTGAGAAGTCTTAAATGAGCAAAATTCAGTAAAATCTATGACTTTGATCCTCCTCAAAGATGAATAAAATATCTTAACCTTTCTTTTAAATAGCTTTTTTCTCAATAAAGCAAATTTTATTTACAAAAATAAATAAAGACAAAATTAGTATCATCTATTTAAAGCTAAAATCTACTCTATCAACAAAAATATCCATTTTACCTGATCTGCATTTTCAGCTGTTGTCGAGGACAGTTTTCTGGGTGATGATCGTCTTTCTGCCTGTGGAGACTGTAACAATTGAAAAGTTAAAATAACCCTTTTTTCATAACAAATCTCACTTAGATATCTACAAGTGTTTTTTTTTATATATATACAGGTATTTAATGTGAAGTGAGTTAAAGAAATTGCATTTTTTCTTCTTCTTACATAAAGCCTCAGATATGAACAAAATATTTTGTCCATAAAAATAAGCAAATTTGTAAATGATAATGTTAAATAATGGATATAGAATATGAGACATTTATCATGTAGAATAAGAATAGAATGTAAAAGAATTTGTCAAATAAAGCAAAATGTAAACAGAGTAGTGGTTTCTTTTCCATAAAAAATACTAAATCACTACATGTATAACTGTTACACAGGCGAACTAAGAAAGTTAAGCTATATACAAAAGTGAACCATTTGGAAACAATACTTACCATAACAAAAGTAGAGAAAGCTCAACTTAAAAAAAGTTTTTTTGGACTAAACAGAGCTCAACTTAAAAAAAGTTTTTTGGGACTTAACAGGCTTTTTAGTGTGTTTTTTTTAAAATAGAGTTATGTTACTTCCAAGGTAATATTACTTCTTGTAAAATCAACAAATATGACCTTAAAGTCAGTTTACCTGATCTGCACATTGTGTTGTACATCCGTGTTTTCTTGGTGACATGCGTCTTGGTGGGGACTTTTGCATCAAATCCTGTAAAATAATTTTCTGACTGACAGTAAATCAAAGCTAAAACTTAAAAACTAAATGAGACAAAAAAACCATTATTGTAAACTATCCAAATAGATTAGTTTTTGTGGTGGCCTATTCTTATTATTTTCACTTGACATAAATGAGAAATCTGTATAACTAGAACTTTGGAGTCAGATGTGTTGCCTTGTGAACAATATAGTTTAGGAGAAATGGCCAGAACAAAAAAGAAAGTATATGAAAATTAACAAAGGGCAAACTAAAAAAATAAGAAATGCAGAATACCGGTTCTTGTGCAATGCACTTCTTCTTAATTAGATCTATCATCCTTTGAAGTTTCAAGTTCATAGCTTTTATACTTTAGGAGAAAAGGCCCGGACAAAAATAAAGTATGAAAATTAACAAAGGGCAATAACTAAAAAATTAAGAAGTGCAGAATACCGGTTCTTGTGCACTGCACTTCTGGTCATTATAAGAAGCATGCATACCAAAGCATGATAATTGTAAATTAGTTTTAATTGTATTTGAGTTATGACCATAAGCAGATAGACATAATAGCATATGAGCCGACTGTCATGACAAAACCAACATAATGGGTTTGCGACCAGCATGGATCTAGACCAGCCTGCGCATCCGCGCAGTCTTATCAGAATCCATGCTGTTCGTTACCAACACTATTACAAGTATAGAAACTGATAGCGAACAGCATGGATCCTGATCAGACTGCGCGGATGCGCAGGCTGGTCTTGATCAATGCTGGTCGCAAACGCATTATGTTGGTTTTGTCATGACACGGCTCATATAACTAAGCAGTGTTACCTTCTCTAGAGTCATTTTCTTCTAGTGTGTCTACTGCTTGTCTGTACAGCCTCACAGACTCTGTATAAAGGTTTGCCTGGGCTTGCTGAGGTTGCTGGATTACTGGTTTTTGTGATTCCAGCACAATAGAAGATGTGGAAGGAGTCAATATACATGTTGCTGGAGAAGTATCTGAAGGGTTCAATTGTTGGGGCCATGCAACAGGCAAACCAGATTCCAAAGTTGTAGAAGTATATGTTACTTTGTTGCAAACAGCAGGCTTATCACATGGAATTGAAGTGACAGGAACGTGAAGGTCAGCACTAGTAAACTGACATAACAGATTACTGACAGGAATGTCAGTCTCTCTTTGACCAATTGTTACTCCCTCAGAGGCATCCTGTTGTGTCTGTTGTGGACATTCAACATTTAGAGCTGTGTTTTTTGACTTTAGGGTCTTCTGGGATTTTTTACCTTCTATCTTTTTCTTTTTTGGGCTTAGTTCTTGTTCTTGCTCCTTACTTTCTTTCAGTTTGTCGGAAATAACATGCTGTCTTTTACCAGATGTCTTCTTTATTTCAAAGTTCATCAATAATTGAACGATTTCTTCTTTGTTTGTATCTGACGATAGTCCTTCTAAAACTGCTTTGTAAGCTTTGGAAGCAAACTTCTGAAGTTGTTCTTCATTATCTGCATTGAGAATTTTATACAATTATTTTGGTGACATGTTTAAAGAAATATATCTGAAAAAAGTTTATGTCATCTATCCTTTATTAAAAATTCTAACACAGTTCATTGACTATTCCCCTATTCCATAGTTTATTCCATACTATAGTGCTTAACATTAGGGAATAAAGAATACTTATGGTAGTCGGAGGATACCTGTATTTGACGTTAGGATAAGGGGTGCATATGTCTGGTTAATCTATGTGGGGCTTGAACATATGGTTGGAGATTAATTGCAACTAGGTTATGATATATCTTGTATAACATTATCGGTCTACTGTCCGATCTGCAATGTTCAGGGGTCCCATTTTTAAAATAAAAAACCTCAAAACAATAATGAATATGCAAACTTGCAAAGAAGATTTTATTGAATTTAATATCAATACCATGAAAACTTTAATTATCAAAAACAGTAGAACAGTTCATAAAAATTCTTAATAATTAAACTGTGTGTGAAAATACAAAGTGACTATCGTATGACTACAAGATTAGGCTAGCCACAGTACACCGACTATGAGCCCGTTCGACTAGGCACTTCCTTTTATTATTTATAATACAAAGTAACAATAATTATTTGTCATTAAAATATCAAGTGACTGCTTGTGTAATGTGTTGTACTGGGGCGTACACACACCATGATTTCAAACAGGCAAGCAAAATAAAAATAGATAAAAGAAACCTTATCATGGTGCTAAATTTCATTAGATCTCTCCCAAACTATTTCTTCCACTGAGGAGGCGTAAAATAAATATCTCTGATGATAAAATTTGTGATCTTGTTTATTTATTGGACATTATTAAATCTAAAGGAACAATTCAACCGTTAATATCAAAAGGCAATAAAACAGGAAGCACCCGAATCTCATGATATAAAATACAAGGCCATTTGGCATTACCATGTTGCACAGTCTCGAAAAGTGGTACGTTATATATTGGGTACGAAACTTGAAAAAATATTTTGATTTACCGTGACATAAGGACGAGGGACTGTGAACGTGGACATTGAATATACCATAGTTATCTAACATCTGTTTTATAACCTTAGGAAAATTGACAGTTTTCTATGCTATTTGTATTTTACAGCTTATGTTGAAGAGCGCAAAAAACACGGCACAGTACTGTAGGCGCAGCCATTTGTAATTATCTATCTTTACCTCCGCATAGAAGAGTGACGATATATCTTAATTAAATCTCCCATGATAAATAAATTGAAAGAAAAAACATTGCAATTCAATTAAATATATATATATATATTTAGATCTAGATCAAATATTATTCTGAAAACTAGAATATTTAGAAACTGCATTTTTGGTTTACCTTCACGCATGCGCTTGCGGACAGCGGGAAATTCAATTTTTTGTCACCTGACAAGATAATGTTTACAACATCACTGAAAGTATGTGAACAATGATGATAATCCGTCCTATGAAATCTCTCCTAACATTTTCTTACATTTAACCTGAGTTCTAATTACTTCCTATAACTTTATTCTAGTTCATTCAACGTAACATGTTACGTGTCCCCACCAATCATAGACTACAGTAATTTAATTTTGAAAATATTAACAAAAATCTACTCACCAGAAACGTTGACGATAGTTCCATTGTATATTTTTCTTCCCCATTTCATCCGAACACTTTCATTCGACTTAAAACTATGTAGCATTTCTAAACTCTTGTCACATTCATTGACAACACTAAGACTTTTGTCTTCTTCAAAAAATATGCAAGCAAACATGGCGCCGTTACTCTTTTAGACAGAACTTTACACACAACAACCAGCCTTCAACTGTTTCAGTTTAAATATAAGTACCTTAAATACCAATGTTTATTATATGAATTTCGGAAAAAAATGCATACAAATCAACTTAATTAATCTCGAAATCCTTCAAAAGTTATGCCTATTTACTCCACGCGTTTTGAAAAAGCAGATTTACACATGCGGAAAGACACTAAGTAATAAGCAAATAGACATCCCAAGCGGAAGGCTTATCGGACTAATTGATGTGTTCACACTGGGCAGTGGGGGACATAAAGGAGTAATTTTGGTCTTGTTATTATTGCCTTCTACATAACTCTTAAAAGTGTCGGACAATTGTTTGTATGATAAACATTTTTTAATTCTTTTTTAATAAAAGAAAAAAAAAATCACAATTATGTGTACAAATCCTATCTTGCACATAAGTTATTAATGTGTTTATTTTGTTTGTATTTGCAAGTCATATTATACTAAGGTTCCTTTGGGAGCCTTATATTTTCCTGAACTAATCGTCTGTTTGGTGGTTTAACTATATGCAGATGTTATCATTGCAAAATTATGTATGTTTACTGCTGGAAAACTAATGAATTATATAATTTTTATATTAGAAAATCCTCATATTGTACAAATGTGCTTGAGTGAATAAAGATATCTGTCTGTCTGTCTGTTTAATGAGTTCTGACAAAGATAAATGCTGTAGAAATAGATTTGGTTTAGTCTAAAAAAATGAAACGTTTTCGCAGAGGACCTTACGGGAAAGCTAATAAAAATGAAAGTGAATATTGTGATGCAGAGGACATTGCCAGCAGTGTTGTTCATGATGACAATACCATAGATCTTGGTGATCTCGGTGACGTTGATTTTGTGAATATTCCATCAGAAGCAAGTGGAAGTTCAAATGATCCAGCTCGAGCCAGGAGTTCAGCGCATAAGAAGCCACGCTTTGTTGAAGAGACAGCCGGAATAAATGCACTAGAATGCACGGGGCTCGCTATGAACAAAGTTAATAATAACTATTAATTAATTAATAAAATCCTTTTTTAGATCTATATTGCAATTGACTTATTGTGAAATTTTATCACTGACTGGCTTAATTATTTAAGCTGTGCTGGCATATATATAACATGGGGTTTGCTGATTAAATTATCATAAAGATGATTATAAATTACGTTGGCTTCTTTTTTTCTCTCCGTATTACTTAGGTTGCCACAAGACTCATTTATTTTTCACTATAATTTAGCAGATCCTGTTAATTGAAATATGATAATTTATTTTCGAATAGCATTGCCGATTTGAGAGACCGCACGTGCATACACGGCGAGAGGCTCCGAAAGTACCCGTCCGAAAATAGACGAAATGATGCGGGTGTAAATTTTTACACTTATTTCTTATTCTTCTTTTAATATTTGTAAACAACGAGCTTTGCTATTATCCTGACCTTGAAAACTCTGGATTTATTTTAGTGTATGGGCAAGTTAATTATTATTTTGGTCATTTATTATGTAATTGATTAATCGTCATTTATTTCCTTCAAAAATGTACTAGAATTCGGATAAGAATTAAGGGAATATAAAATTCGGATACTTCTACGGGCTTAGCTTAAGAGACTCCAGCGAACTGTTTTACAGGTTCTCAGTAAGTAAGAGCCGGTCGAAAGGACCGTTTGGAAACACAATATGCCGGCTGAAATTCGTAAAATTTTCAAAAATACCAAAAACTTGAGAACAGAATTTTACAGTCAGATATTTATGCTCCGTTTAAGTATTCAGTAGCAAACACAAACAATGACTGAAATAAATCTGAAAACAGTCTCTAATTAGCATATCAATCTTTATTAAATTTGCCTGAAGTGAAACCGGAAGTCCAACTCCATTGCCGATTTCTACCAATGAAAATATTTGCAAATATTGAAAACTATTCAAGACTGGACAATAAAGTATTCAAGGCTTTCACAACATTAAATAATACGATTTTTTGGTTTGCTATAATATCGAAAAATCAATTGTTGACCTGTAAAATACACTAATGATGTTACATGTGTGGTCAAAAGTAGATCTAATTTCGGATGTAACTTATTCGGACATGGAATTATGGATGGGAAAATTTTCTTAAAAGAAATAAAGAAAATATTTAAATAAAATATTTTTCTTTCCCTTCAGTTTTTACACTGATATGAACACTACTTATTCATGTAAAAGCAATTTTAATGTAATTTCTACATATTAAACTAATTGAAGTATTTTCTCAAAATTATATTTTACTCATATATTGCATAATATATATTTTCAGGCATTTGGTGAAACTGTGTTTACAACTGAGGAAGGAGGTTTGAATCCAGTAACAGAAACGGATGTTGAATATGAAATTGATGATGTAGACATTTTGAATGATATTAATGACAGCCACCAGCCTGTTGAGGAATCTTTAGAATTTGTAAGTGATGTTGAGGAATCTTTAGAATTTGTCAGTGATGTTGAGGAATCTTTAGAATTTGTCAGTGATGATTCTGACATTGAAATTGATGAAGAAGATCTTAGTCAAGAAGCCGTGAACAGTGAGGAAGATGACCTTGAACCCCTCTACCCTGGTGCTTCCATATCTGTTGGAGCTGTTATGCTTTTGCTGTCATTATTTGTGACAAAGCATAGTTTAGTTGGCGATGGAATTCATCAACTCTTACAGATATTATCACTTGTTCTTCCAAATGGACACAAACTGTGTACAAGCATTCAATCTTTTAGAATGTATTTCCAGAATTTGAAAACTCCACTTGTAAAACACTACTATTGTGGTCACTGTTTTGGAAGTATAAAAGATCCTAATGAACAATTATGTCCTTACGCAAAGTACAGGAAAACTATAACAGAAAAGATGAACTACTTCTTAGAAATGCCAGTGAAATCACAGCTAAAAAAACTTCTCGCACAAAAAGACTTTTATTTAAATTTACAAGGGAAATTTTGTGCACAACAGGACTGTTACAGAGACATCTACAATGGTAAACTATATAAAAAATATTTTAATGATGGTGGACCTTTGAGTGATCCTAACAACATATCATTTACCTTTAATACTGATGGTGCTTCAGTATTTAAGAGCAGTAATGTATCAGTTTGGCCTCTTTTTCTTATAATAAATGAACTTCCCTACCACCTTAGAATGAAAAAAGAAAATATGATTCTTGCAGGGTTATGGTTTGGTAATAAAAAACCTGAAATGGGCACCTATTTACAGCCATTCTTAGAAACATTCAAAGAACTTGAAAATGGTATTCAAATGTATTCGCCAGATAAACAAGATATATTTCTTTTAAAAGGATATTTACTCTGTGGGACAACTGATCTGCCAGCTCGTAGTTTGATTTGTAATAGTATAATGGTCGTTATTCATGTTGGAAATGTTTATCAAAAGGGGAAACTGCAAAAGTTGGAAAAGGTCATACACATATTTTTCCCTTTGATACTAATCAGCCAAAGCAACCTTTTCGTACCAGAGAGTCTGTGGTTAATGATTCTGAAAGGTCTTTAGAACTCAAAAATGCTAGTGTTAAGAACAATACAACAAATGGTGTAAAAGGTCCCTCCTCTTAAATTTGAAATTTTTCATGGAATTGCAATAGATTATATGCATGGTGTTCTCCTTGGTGTTCAGAAATTATTGCTTACACTTTGGTTTAGTGCAAGTCACAAAAGGAAAATATTTAACTTTCACAATCAAGTTTCTAAAGCTGATGAGCTTATTCAAAATATCAAACCAACTTCTGGTGTTTCACGACTGCCACGCTCAATAAGTCGAGACTTGAAATACTAGAAAGCCTCAGAATTTCGTTCATTTTTGCTTTTTTATGGTGCACCAATTTTGAAAGGTATTCTTGATCAACAAAGGTTTTCCCATTATATTCTCCTTGTTAATGCTATATTTATACTTCTTAAGTCTGGGGCAACCGAAAATGATATAGATAGAGCTGAAATAATGTTATTTCAGTTTGTTAAAATGTTTTCTGTACTATATGATAAATGTTTTATGACGCTTAATATGCACCAGCTTTTGCATTTAGCAGATAGTGTCCGTTATTTAGGGCCATTATATACCCATAGTTGCTTTTCTTTTGAAGACAAAAATGGTGTATTACTTAAAATGATTCGTGGGACACAGAACATAGCCAATCAGATCACTACAGGTGTGTCATTCCTCCAAAAACTGCCTGAATTAAAACAGCTTACTATTGAAAGTGGTTCATACCTTGAGGACCTATACAATTCTATAGAAAATCCAAATATATTGAAAAGAGGTCTAAAGTTAAATAAAGATATCTATGTTTTGGGGGCTGTTAAGAAAAGGAAACTTTCTGACAAAGAACATAGTGCTGTTTGTCAACGCTTGGGTGCTGTTCCAGTATCAGATCTTTTTAGTTATTTCAAAAGGTTGGAGTTCCATAAAAATCTCATATATGGAAGGAGTTACTCAAGAATGGTTAAACGAAATAACTCCACAATTTGTTTAAGGTTGATGATAGTTTTGAAGGTTTTGGCAAAGTTTTGTTTTTCATACTATTAGACACAAATGATCATGATGGAAACCATTCTGTATTAGCCATTGTTGAAGAATTAAAATGTAAGAACTATGCTAAGGATAGCAATATTCTGGCAGTTGAAAAAAATGATAATATCCTTGCAATTCCATTAGAAACAATAACTGAAAGTTGCATTCATGTCACCATTATAGATAACCAGGACATATCATTTGTATGTAGAATTCCAAATACTTTAGAATCAGACTAAAACTAGGTTAAAAAAAATCTGTTAAATATAATAAAACAGTATTAGGAGGGTGAATTTTTTTTAATATAGCATTGATTCAGATGACAATTATCTTGAATGTCCTTTTTAATATCATTATCTGGCGAATACTTGAATACCATTCAAAAAGGAAACACGAGGCTATATGATTTGTACCAGGGGGTGTAGCTCCTCCGCCCC